CCCCAAAACCCCAAAACCCCAAAACCCCAAAACCCCATAGTATTTGTCAATGTGGAAATTAACCAGGAATCTTAATGGTGGGTGAAACATAATTCATCTTTCATAATTGCTATGATTTTTGGTCAAGAAAGAGCATTCTTGAGGCTCTCTTTCATTTTCGTATTAGCTTGATTAATTCATTTCACTCCTCATAATGAATGTATTCTCAAATGAGTTATCAAATTGCAATATTTCCATTTGCACTCTAAACTCTCTTTAAACATTGGAGTTCTCTAAAAATTAAGAGATGGCTGGATTGTAATGGAAGCATACTCACCTATTTGTAGAACATTCCTTATCTATACAGTTGGCTATTAGCTTCGGTTATACCTAAGAGTCCATTGGCTATAATTAGCGATCTACAGTAATCTCGTCATTAAGATTAACAAATTTTATTATTTCATCATCAACTCCAAGTCCTTGATGATATGAGAAACTGGCACCCAGAAAGTGTATGGATACTTAGGAATTTAGTTCATTCATGACTGAGGATGGCAGGGGGTCTTCCTGAACCCTCTTGTAATAATTGTAAGACTTTTACTGCCTCTTCTGATAAATTTCTTTAAGTCTGAATGAACTCCATGATGATGCCTCATAGCCAAAGTTTATTAATCTTGTTATGTCTTTTCTCTCCTTCTCAAAAATGAGCTATTCGGATAAATTTAAGAAATAATTTGTTTTCTGAATTTTCTGAAATTTTAGAGGCTGCTAGAGTAGGATATGGAGTATTTTAGGTTCTTCTCACTTAATTTGTATGATCTCCAGGAGATCCGCTTTTGAAAATCTGCAAAATACTGTCAAAATGTAGTAATAAAAATTAAAAGCTTACTGTACAAACTCTCTTTAACTATATCAGTCTTCTCTCACTTTCATGGCCTCATAAAAGCTAGTGAGTCCCTCCCAATATCAAAATTGCTTCCAGAGCCTTAACGTTGGAGGGTTTCATCTTGCTAAGGATATCTCTCAAGAGACTGCAGCTCACACTAAAGAACTTTCATACTTATCATAGAAACTCCAAGCTTTAGGATAGAAGCAAGTGGCTACAACCTTCTGAGTCCCTCTATCTTTTCCAAGTTTGTGAGTCTACTTCAACAATTTAGCTATGCAAATAGCAGCATTTTCACATAAAAGATAGCCGTCGCTTGCACGATGATTATAAGGAGAAAGAGTGTCGACTAGCTAAGTCAAGTCCAGACCCAGAGCCTTATCTGCGATACCAAGTTGCTGATGTTGACCACTTCGGCCATATTGGCTAAATTTGAAAATGTTATAATTTAAAACTTGCGTAAGTCTAAAATTGCCAGACCAGTCAACTAGAAAGAGACTATGTTAGGAGATATAAGAATTCTTGCTCTACACTATTCTTCCCAGCCGAAGTCGAGAATTAATAGACCATCAGCATCTCTTTATGACCGAGGACTTCTTCCAAGAGTAGAGAATAGAAGAACTCCTAAGCGAGTCAAAACTGGGAATGGAGAAATAATTAATTTACTATAGTTTAGTTACCATCGAGAAATCTCAAGTCATCGATGCATACTATGTTTAAAATTTGAATAAAAAGTAAATTCTTATTGCAATGATTATTTCCTCCAAACTGTTCAAGTTGGAACCTGCAGCAATTTGCAATAGCTTCGAAGCCTCTCCAATGGACCTCTTCCGCTTGAAATTTGCTCGAGAAAATAGCCGAATAGGTTGGAGAATTATTGCTAAGTCTTAGTCTATTTAACCACCACACTTTTGTGTAATATTTTAGAAATCTTAATTAGACAAATGACACCTGTTAAATACTTGCTTGCTTGGATAAAATTGATGAAGCCTGCTATTAGAGCAACTTTAGAGCAAAGTTTTAGAATATTTTGTGAGATCTCTCTTAGATATTTTAAATGAAGTCTCCATTATTTTGTTGAGATATAGGAATTGGTGACAAAGGCTCAGAGAAACAATAACTTTTTCAAAGCTCTGACCTCCCAAAAAGGACATAGATACAACACAATTTTAAGTAATTTCTGATTTTTATTGAGTCTGAATAGCTTGCTAAAATTATCTAATTTGAACTTCATAAATGATATGGCTCGAAATGGTAGTATGCTGAGTCTCTAGCAGAAGAAAGGCTAGTCTGAAATTAGAAAGCAGAGACCTAGCAAAGACAACTAAGAGTGTTTTAATTATGTTCAGAACTTTGGTCTGTTGAATTTTTTTATACTCTTAGCTCTTAATAAACTTTTCTCAAATCTCTACTATACAAATTTCCTTCTCATATAAGACAATCAAGTTATGGTGGCTCTAGAAAATTGATAGAAGCTCTTCGAAATCAAGCAAGCAGGTCTGCTTTATAATTAGCATGGGCTTTGCTGAAAGTTCTATAGCAAACTTTAGAAATTTTAATTCACTCTGAGAACGAAATGATTTGCGTGAAAATTTTTAGCATATCATTAATGCAGAAAATGCGCCATTTCACATATTTATAAATTTTAATATTCATGAGAGCCTTTTAAAAACTAGAGACTCCGAGTCTTCTGAATCTTCAATTAATTACTAGTGCTTCCTCACCCACATTCTTGGTTAAGACACTTCTATAAAATTTTAGAAATTAAAATATTATTCGAGTTATTTTTATTACAGTCTAGTGAGCATAGAAACCCCAAAGCCTTCCTTGATATGTTATGTTCCAATTGCTCAAAGAAGGTACTCTTGGCTGCATGAAATTGAAGGAATCAGCTCTATTGAGTTTCCCATGATATCACTTGATGACTGATATATCACGGTGTTGAACCCTCAGTAATTCAAATGTTCCACCCCTTACCTTTCTAGTTATCTAGAGAAGCTGAGGAGTATTTCAGTTAGAACTCCCCATGAAGATTTGTGCTAATAGACTGCTGATTATTGGGCAGATCTTTTATCATAGACTCAATAGCAGGGCTCTTTTTGGCAACATTTGTTTCTAAAAGTTTCCACTGACAAAGTTTTAGCAAATTTCTTGACCAACACAAAAATTATTAAAATATTTCATGGTGGACTTCCCATTTTTGTACTTAATAAAAGTGAAATATAATAAAGCCAAATGGCAGATACAATTTTATTAGGATTATTTAGCAAAGTTTGAAGCTCTCCATTCAGTTATTCTTAAGTGCTTCTACCAATTTTGACAGAGGTTCTACCATAGAAATTTAAAAGTGCAAAAATGTTGAAATGAAGCCTATTTGAAATGACCCGTTTGGATCAGAGATTATGATGTCCAGGAAATAGACTTCATTTTCTAATTATTTTAACCATATTTAATATGAAAATATGACTCAGAGCCTTATATAGAAGGTCGGCTCAAATGGTGAAGAATTGGTCCTTACTTAATAACCAAAATTCAAAAGAGTTCACCATAAAAGTTTGTCCAGCTAAATAATGATTACAAAAGTCTGTGGAGTCACTCATTGAGTGTAAATCATCAAGAGAAATAAGATAATTGTCACTTTCGGGACTATAGTAAGAATATCTTCATAATTCTGATTCCAACCAAGAAGTCTCACCAATCGAACATCTATGAAATCAGCTGATATACTGTGAGAGAACTTAGCCTATTTATATACCAAGGAACCCACTCTGGAGAAAAAATCTACCAAGGTAGAGAGACTTTATTAATGACAGTTCAGAGCCTCAGCAAGCCAACATTGAAAGAAAATAGAAATTGTGAGAATTTAGGCTTGTTATGAATTTTCATTATGAGGTAGAAGCCAATCGTGAACCCGAGACATTTATTGAAACTTGTTAACAGAATTAACTTAATATATCTCTGAAATGAGAAGCCTCGAACACTCCTCCGTTCTGGTTGAAGTTCTTCAGCATTTCGAAGACATCTTCGGCTCTCCATGAAAAGTTGGTCGGAGCCTTGTTGTTGTGTAGCATCATCGAGTAGAAGTCGAAGGTGATCGCTGCATCGATTTCGAGAGGGAAGCTACCAACATAAGTCTTCTTGCCTTCTGCTACGATCACTGTCTGATAATTCACCGAGTTCTTGGTCACTCCTATGGATCTGGTTCTTCTCTTGCTGACTCTTCTAGTTTTGCAAACATTGGCTTTCTTCTTTGCATACACAAAGGACAGTCCTGTTCCGAGTAGTGGGAGCAACTTGGCCTTCAATTTCTCCTGGTGCTTCGAGAAGTCATATGAGTAAATTGCCTTGACTTGCTTCTGATGTTTATATTGAGACCTCTCAGAAACAGGCATCATTTGCTGCAACTGGTTTTGGATATCACAAAGGCAGAAGCCACCGAAAATATTGTAGATTGGATTCATTTAATTATGATAAAACCTCTCTATATTTATATACTATCTCGGGGTTTTGGGGTTTTGGGGTTTTGGGG